GGGGAGATTGATGCGTACTTGTGTAGTGACAATATCCTGGGAGTACCGAAAAAGAGTCTATACATGGCAAAGCAATGCCCGTTAGTGGTGCACAGAGTTCACGGTGCCTTTTGCATTATTCTAACGCCAACAAATAGCGAATGCCATGGTGTTTATTTAGCCAAAGGTGGGTCCGTCGTGTATTTACAAAAAAGGGTAACATTCGTAATGCGCCAAAGCCAACCGATAATAAGCCCTGGTTGCCAGGGAATGGCGTAAAATGGGACACGGGCGCAGAGCTGTGCCTCGCCCGTGGCGCAAATAAATGGGATGGTCTTTGAGTTTACGGCTACAAACTCTCACCAATGGTTCGGCATATACAGGAATATGAGAGCGATCATGACTAGCTGAGTCGATGGGAAGAGTTGGAGGGAAAGGGTGGATGCGTTAGATTATGATACAATGGTCACGCGCAAACGCAACGGCCGGCAACGTTGGAAATAGAAAAAAAAAAGAGATAATAGCGGGTGGTAGCAAAAGAGAGATGACTGACGTAATGCTGGAAACAACAATTGTGACCAAGGCCGCGTAACCGTTACTCGTTGACTTGTTGGATGGTGCCAGCATCAGTGCCACGCGCAGTTTCCAAAGGGGTAACGCCTATCCGACTCAGGCCCATGTTGATGCGAAGGCGCTGGACCTCGGCAAAGACCCGCCAAGCGCCCATATGCGTCAATAGTCCGCGGGTGATCATGCGAGAATAGGCGTAAAAATCGCAAACGGAGCGCAGCCGCTGGCGGCAGCGATGGCACAGCGGCCGTAGGTCGGCATCATGGTCATCCAATCGATAGCGAAAATACACCAACTGCCCATGACTAGTAGGCGACGCAGCCAGTGATTTGGCGGCCGACAGCAGTGGCTTGGCCACAATGGGTGTATCGCAAAGCGAACACGAGGCTGCCACGGTCGAGTGGGGCATTCCCGTGGGGCTGGGCTGCCCAGGGGCCGAGGAATGCTGGGCCGGAACGCTGTGTGGCATTGCCGACGAGGAGGTCTCCAGGGGTAGCAGCGTCAAGGGTCTGGTCGTCAAAGACAGACGAATCTGACGGCCGGGCGCCGAGGTGTCTGCTGGAGGCGCGTTGTCGCCCAGTGGAGCAGATGATGGAGCTGAAAAGAATGACCGGTACCCTGCCATGGACCAGGTGCGGGCCAAGCCGGGGGATTCGGACGGTGGGGCCGAAAGCGGCGGCCCAGAGTGGTTGGGGCGGGTGGGGGTCGTTGGCCCTGATGGGAGCATGGTGCCAGCGGTGGGAGAGATTGGGGTGGTGGCCAATGGCTGGTAGGGAATGGTCTCAATGACCAAGGAGCTGGTCTGCACGGCCGTCAATAAGCGGCGGTGGTGACGCCAATTGAGCAGGTGGTTACCTGACGTTGCGACCAGGGTGGAACTGAACCGCAAGCACGGCTCCACGTCCTCTGCCAGGCAGCGCTTCATGAACGGGGAATTGACCGCAACCTTGTCCCCTCGAAGCGGCAAAAAATCGGCAAATTCCTGGAACACGAGGTCGTCAGAGTGCAGATACAGGTGCATGAACACGTGGAGTGGGCCGCTGGGCCCTTGGGCCTTGGCCGGCAGCCGAAAGGCGTAGGCCTCACCCCCATCGGCTGCGTAGTTGTTGTCGCACAGGGTTGAGTCGTACGAGCCGTTGGTGCCACGCGACATGAGCGATTCACGGAACCGGCTGGGTTCCTGGGGAGCAGGACTGCCCGCGTCGGCGCCCAGCAGCAGCGTGGAGCCGTGGAACGCAGCGGCCAGGTCGCCACGGGGGCTGTGTGCGTCCAAGGTGTGCGTTGACGAAAGCGACATGGGCAGGGCTTTGGTGGTGGCATCCAGCTCCCGTTGAAGAGCACGGCGGTGTTTGGTCTCTTTTTCTTTATCCTCCGTAGCCTCTTCGAGACGGAGTTTGAGCTCGGTGGACTGCTCGCGCTCAAACTGCACCAGCTGGTCGGTCTCGGCAAGTTTGCGCTCGAGGGTTCGGCACCGCTTTTCCAGAGCCACGTTGCGGCTGCGCTCGTCCTTGACCATCTTGTTGGCCTCTTCAAACAAGGAGCGCGACAGGTCCTCCAGCTCGTTCTCGACCATGAGTTTGGCGTGTTCCACCTCGCCACGCTTCTCGGTCTCGTCGATTAGCTTTTCCGCCAGGCGCTGCATGTCGGCCTGGAGCTGGGTAGTGTCCAGCACTCGCTTTTGGTGGATGGAGTCGAGGGTGGCCTGGAGTTCCCTGATCTGGGCGTGGGCGCGATCCAGGTCGATCTGCACCGCCGCGGCAGCATGCTCGCTGTCGGCCTGTTGGTCAACAGCGTCAGATAGCTTGGCTTGTAGGGTCTCATGCTCGGCCGTGAGCCGCTGGATTTGAAAGTCTTGTTCGGCAATCCGGGTCTGGAGGGCGGACGCGTCAAGGACGTCGCGCGGAGCGGGGGAGGTGGGAGATAGCGGTGGCGACCGCTCAAGAGGACGGAACGCTGGAAAAGTGTCAAGCCACTGGGTGAGGTCGGTGCCGCACTGCCAGCACTCGTAGCGCGGCATGGTAGCCAAGACTGAACGTAGCCAACAGTGGGTGGGGAGGGAGGGAGGGAGGGGCAACTGGATGTCAGGAATGTGGAATAAGAACGAAAAAAAGCGTAAGCGAAGCACTGCCAAACTCAAAGGGAAAGGAGGGGGAAAGGGCAGGCAGCGGTGGAGCAGCCAGAGCGGGCTATCTTATCCAACAGCAGGTGCAGGCGCCTGGTGGGACAGTGTGGTAGCCAGTTGGACTGCGCACCAGAGGCCAGCGGAAGGCGGTGTGGCGGCTGCGAGGGTGGCCGAGGAGCGCCAAGCGGACACGAAACCAAGGGGCGTGTGACCTCGCCGTGCGTGTGCAGCTGGAATGGAAGAAAAAAAGGGAGATAAATACTCTAAGCTGGCCATGACAGGTCATCAATCCCTGGGCAGCGTTTAAAGACAATTGGAAAAAAAATGGCATGAGACCAACAGGCCGCAGAAAATGGATGCCAGTAACCCCAAGAGTGTCGACATTCTCTGGTGGCAGACCAGGGTGTATAAATAGTCGCAGAAAACGGCCCCAAAATAACTACAGAGCTGCTAGTCAAGGGGCTGGGCGCCACCGTGTGGGAGGGGTGCTCTGCACGATCACACCATTCTGCGCCCTATGGACAACGTCATGGCGTGCAGGTACCACAAATAACTACACAAAAGGCGATAAATGGGCACCACCTAGTCACACCAATGGGACACAGGAGCGCTCGACCAGCTGTCACTCTCTGCCCAAATAAATAAAGAGCGAGAGAAAGAGAGAAAGAACCACCCAGGGTGCACCAGTGATCGGACTGATAGAAAGAGTTGGATGTGCCAGATGGGCAATCTCAGGCATCTTTAGGCTGACTTCTTAATTACTGATGGCACTTCCTTGGCTTACTTCTCCCTAGTATTCTATAAAAACAGCAACAACCATAGCATGCCCTAAGCCAGCACAATTTCCAGACCAGCCTAGCAAGGCAGGTCATTGGGTACAACTGTCCGTCACCAACGCGCCCCAATCCAATAGATGATACTGGGTTACCCAAAGGGATTAAGAGACAGCCTAGGGCCTGACTACTATACCCTATAATATAGAGAATTATAGAAGTAGAGTGAAGTGGAAAGGGAAGACAGAGAAGCACAAATAGGAGTGTTAGTGGCGAGCACAATGAAAACCATAGCACTGTTTTCACTGCTGCAGAGAAGAGATATTATAAACTTACCATAGAATTCAAACCCACCCCACTGTTAGTAAGCAATAGAGTGGATCCAATTCGGTTATCTTGATGCACTCGCCAGATACTCCTCAAGAGAGCATCCAGGTCATGGCGCAACTATTTGTAAGGCAGCGATAACTGCCCCGGAAATTGAGTTTGTGTTGGTTGTTGGTGCGCAGGATTAGCAGCGGCGTTTGGCAGATGGTTGACCAGTGGTAGCTTGGGTAACAGCGGTATGTGGATGCTGAAAACGCTGGGGTATGGCACCCTGGTGGCGAAGACCCAAGAGAATATGCCAAAAGTTTAGCACTGCAGCTAGATCGCGGTTCCAATAGCGAGGATGGGTTATACACCAACAGAGTCAGTAGCCAGGGTCGCCAAACAGGTTTCGTTGGTGCACTTGAGGAGACCATGGCAGGTGATGGTTGGCATCATGTCAGCAAATTAGAGCAGAGTTATATGTATCCAATAAGCATCAAAGTATACTCCAAGGATAGTCTAGAAACTCCCTACTTGCCTCTCTTTACTTTCTCCTTCTTTTCATGCCTCCCTAACCAAACTATCCCTTGTGGGGAATTATTTTGGATCTTTCCCACTTCACCGTGCCTTGCTGGCCCAATGCCCTTCTTTTATTTTATTTGCTGCTTTCATTGCAACTAGGGCTTATTGATGCTTTGCCACCTGAGGTCAGCAGAAATCAACACGCCAGCGACTACCGAAATAATAATAAAGGCAATCTACATCTATACTAGATGGGTGGTACCATTGGGTTCCAGCCACAGCAATCATTGCCTCCGCCAACACCAAGTAAACTGGTACCTTTTATTCACCTGCTTGCCCACTTCGTCTCAAACAAACAAACAAACAAAAAGGAAAATAGAATTTTGCTCTGATCAATGTGCAACCATCCCTCTATCACTATCCATAGGGCCTGGTGAGCTTCCTACAGAGAAAACAATGTGTCAGAACCCGCCAAAATTGAATGTGATCACTTTGCTTAGGCCTGCCATTGGTGGTATGACTTGCTATTGGCCAGTCAGTAGTCCCCCCCTCCGCCTACAGGTTTCATGGGTGGTTTTGGCATGCTGACCAATGCCAAAAAACTACAATAATTAAATATACACATAAATAACCCAGTTGACTTCATTGCATGGTGAAAAAGGCCAGTGTTCCTGCTTATTCATTCTTTGGGGGTCATGTCGTGCATTTCGGTCAATTTTTCTATAGGACAGGTGGCCGAGCGGTCTAAGGCGCTACGTTCAGGTCGTAGTCTACATTAGTAGGCGTGGGTTCGAATCCCACCCTGTCCATTACTTTTTTGTATTTTTCATTCCGCACTTTTTGGATGACTAAAAGACAACACCCCCGGAACTGGGTTCAAATTTTTAGGTGTTTGTGCACGGTAACGGTTGTGCGAACGTGGGTAAGTTTGATGGGTTTTGGTGCGTTTGTTGTGAACAATACAAGTCCTTTTCAGAACACTGCTAAAGCTGTTTTGTCTTTGCCTTGATTGCGTACAAAGTTGTCATTTGTTGGCATCTAAACAGCATCTGTGGGTACTGCTCAGGTGGTACCAGGCATTCTGAACCTATGGAATGCCAAAACATGCCAGCCCCCCACTTGCCCAAAGTAATTGCTTTCATCGGTGCTCGGCTTGTCTTGCCCCTTATTCCCCCTCCCCTGTGGGTGATGGCACTGGGACTGTATTGTCGTGGAGAGGGGATGGTCGGCGCTCCACATGGCATTGTGCTGCACAGATCCATGCAACTCTGGACACACTGGCCACGCTGCGATCGCTTCCAACCTGACCAATTGTCCCTTCATTGCGAAGCATTGCCTGGATGGCGGTCAAAACACGGGCGAAATGGTAATGTGCAAGTGCGTGTATATGGATAGTATGCAAAGGTGACCCGCTGGTCAGCCGAAGCGGCATGAAAAACAATGGCGTTTGATTGCTGGTACTGGGCACGCGCTCTTCAACGGCAAATTGTGCCTTGTCCGTGCCTAGCCCGGTTGTAAATTGCCCGATCCTTGTGCTTGAGCTTGCTTTTACCCGAGGCATGATCGGTGAAGCCCAAACACGCGGCACGCCCTGTAATTTCGGCTGAGCCAAGAAAAACAATGTCTACGTGGAAACTAGAGCACAATGTCCAAGCCCAGGAGAGGTCATATGTGCGTGGTGGGTCGTGTGGGTGAGCAACGCCAGCGAATGGGTGATCCATTCACATTGGTCCATTCTCTCCAGGGCAATCGAGGATCGCCTCCTTGCCACAACGGGTCGAAAGCCTGGTCATGAACAAGGCGTAGAAATTGGCGTTAACCATTCTTCCACCCACCACGCCTGGGAGAGCGTTGGCCAACTGGGGTCGTGCTGAAATACCGGTCCCAATCATCAACGGTACTCCAAGCCAACGCCAAGCGAGTGGTCAACCATGGCGGTGGAGGCGATCCAAGGTTGGTGGCCACGCCTACATCACGTCCCGCGCAGCACTCTGGCGGACCGCCTGCCGCTACCAACAATGAAATGTACTACAACACCACCACCTCGGCCTCCCCCTCCCGCGCGCGCAAACCATTGGCTTGCAGTGGGCGGGTGAATGCACCCAGAGCCATCGACCAGCAACCCTGCCAAGCAGGGGGAAATGTGAGAGTGAGCGGAAGGAGAGAGATAGACCGAAAATAGCGGAGTGCAAAAAAATAACAAGTGTGATAGTGTGTGAACCGCGAAACGGACAAGGGGAAGGCCGTAAACCAGCAAAGGAGCCGATAGGGCCAAATATATGGGGGGGGAGGGAGAACGCCCTCCCACTACTATATTAGGCCCTCGCACTCTCATGGTGCCTTTGTTGAGCCGTGGTCGGCTCTAATGCACCCTGGCGCTGCCAGGCACCGTTTAGCCGGAAGCGCATGCTACGCTAAATGCACTGGTCGATTGGCGTTTGCTTCTTTTTTTTTTCCTTGCGGTACTTTGCACCTTCCCCCACTCATCATACCATATTCGGCATTCTGGGTTAACTCCTCCTCACGCACACCCCTGACTCGCTTGGCCGCATATGCTCCACGGCATGCACGCCAAGTGGTTCTAGGCTGAGGCAGCACGGCCCAGCTAAAGCACACAACTCTTTTTGTTTTTTTTTGTCATTTGTCCCCTTTATTAATACTCTACTTATTATCACTATTGGCCAGCGGGCTTATTTAATTCGTAGCCGTCGACTTATCTGCGTGTGCGTGGGCCTCCCTGCTTGGTGTTGCCGTTGTTGCTATTGCCACTTGTCTTGGAGCTTACCTGTGGCTGTGGTCCCGTTTGCTCTGCTAGGTACCGGAGTCTATGAACTGACTGGTCAATAGGTTGCTGCTCGAGGCACCACCCTTTTTTTTGCTTGGTAGGCGCGACAGGCCCTTGCTCACCGCATACGGTCTTACTGGTTCTGACGTTAACCCCGCCATCGCCATTGTGTTTTTAAGGCTGCCTGCTCTTTTCTACGCTGGGGTCGTACACTTGCTTGGAAACTTGTCCGCGTGGTTCAGGTGCGCACAGACGCTGGACCAACTCCGCTCCACCCCACACCATCGCCTGACCCTGGATTGTGCAACCCGCCATCTACTCGCCTCGGGCCAATCTACCTTGTATCCTGCCTGACCAACGCAGAGGTTTTGTCACCCTCGCAAGTACAAAGGGTGCAGAGGGTCGCACACGCACACACACAATACTTTTAGTGGGTATGGCCACTTCCAACATCTCGCCGGCGGCAGCGGCATTGCCTGGCGACACCACTGCCTCTTCTCCTCCACCTCCTCCGGCCAAGTCTTCAGCGTCGTGGACGCTATTTCTCAAGGAGCTGAACCGTGTCATTGGCCAACTCGATGCGTACCAAGTGTACGACGATGGGGTCCTCACATGGGCCGACGCGCTCACCGACATTGTACACCGATTGTTGCGGGTGGCCAACCTCTTGTACGCCAACTCGGATCGTCTCAAAGATATGGAGTTTCGCCGGGAACGCCAGCGCGCCGTCAGCAGCCTTGCGCGGCTCGTGTACCTGGCCAAGTTAGCATCGCTGCCTTTCCCGCCCTACCACGCCGACCAGCGGACACGCAAACAGGCTCTGGTATTGGCCCAGCATGTGCAGTATCTGGTGCTGATGCTCGACACCCACAACGTGGAACTGGATCTAGGATTGGAGGCAAATCGTTTAGATACCCAGTTTCCGCAGTACCTCACCCTGGGTGGGCCCAGCGCAGTGGAAGCCCGGGGCCAGCTGATGACTGCGATCCGGCCCTTTAAGCGTAGCTTTGTGTACTTGGACCGCGATGAATACACCCGCCTCTCCGAACACCAGTCGTCGCACATTGTCAAAACCGTTGGGACTATCCTTAATAACATCACCAAAGACCCGAGCCATCTCAAAACCAACGTGGCCGACCTGTTTCGAGCCCTGGGCTGGGCAGGCCAGGTACTGTGCCTGGTCGAAGCGTTGAGCGACACGTCGCACCACCCGTGTTCACCGGCCTTGACTATTAAGGACCCCACCGCCGACGTGACCACCCCTCGCTTGCCACCCAAATGGCAGGGCGCTCCCGCCGACCAGCCGGGCCCGCTCACCCAGGAGCGCCAGCGTTTGTATACCAGCTTTGATGAGCTGCTTAAAGAAGCCAACGCCTCGGTGTTTGCGAGTGACCAAGACAGCACGGATGGCCAAGCGCTCATGGCAGCTGTGGTCAACTTACTACAGGCCTCTGAAGAGCTTTGCATCAATCTCAAGACTCACCTGACCGACAACGAGGCGTTTCGGTACCTGGAAGAGTGCTTTCAGTACCAGCTAGCCTCCAGCCAGAGCCTGCGCCATACACCGCTGGCCCTAATGCGTCACCGGTTGGATGAGTTTGGGGAGTCCTTTGCGCGCACGTTTTCCCCCACCCAGACGTCAACGGACAGTGGCTTGTTAGATTCGCTTGCCGCTCCCCTGCCCCAAGGTTCCCCCGTCAAGGCGCCCGCCACTGGCACACCGCCCCAGGACGACCCCACGGCTGCTAGTCGTGCCAAGCTGTACAACGCGCTCAACCAGTCCGTGGCATCCATTCCAGAAAGCCTGGCTTCGTACCGCATTAACCCCGACGCATCGCGGGACGCTATCACCCCAGATTCAGCCAGCGAGGACCACACCGAGAAAAAATCCACGTTTGGTGGGTTTTCAATCCCATTTATTCGGCGGATGCGCAGTCGGCCCGAGTTGGCATTGACCGAGTCTCTCCAGCGCAAACGGTGGGACTCCATCTCATCCTCCCACAGCGCCGTGCTGCCATCGCCTGACTCGCCACTCTTACCGGCCGATCAATGGGGTCCAACTGCACAGGCATCGCCTCGCTCCGTTCCCACTGTGGCGCTTCCGCCGCCACCGCTCCCCGAGATCCGACGCATGCGCAGCGACGCCGGGTTTTCCGCCCACGCCACCCTTGTCAATGGCCATACTAACAGCCCCACGGCACGCTCGTATGCCGTCAACGGAGTGCGTGTGCAGCGTCAACGGTCGTTGGATGCGCTTTCCGTTCACCAGCCGACCAAGTTGCGCCAGAGCCTCCCGGGCGTCCAAGAAGAGGACGAGGGACCCAGCGGTGATGGTAGGGGTAGTGCTCGACCGTGGTACATGGCGTACGACCACACCTACGACGACCTGACCGTCAATGACCAGGGCCAGATTGTCACGGGCACCCTTGAAGCCCTGGTGGAACGGCTGACCTTGCATGATTGCAGCGTGGATTCTGAATTCATCAGCACGTTTCTGCTCACCTTTCGCAGCTTTTGTTCACCGCAGCGGTTTGTAAGTATCTTAATTGCCCGGTTCCAATGCGCGCAGCCCGAGGACCTGAGCGACGTGGAGGCCCAACAGTGGCAGCAAAAAAAGCAACTGCCCATTCGTCTTCGGGTCATCAATGTCATCAAAGCGTGGCTCGAGTCGTACTTTTTTGACGACGAGGACGCTAGCTGCGTGGCGCCGCTGCGGGAATTTGTCGAGAACGTAGTGCGTGCTAATATGGCCTCGTCGGCCACACGACTGCTCCAGCTGCTCGACGCCAAGGCCGAGACGGTTCGCTCGGCGCCCACCGTGCCCACCCGCCAGAGCAAGTCCAAAAGCATCGATCGCATGTTGGCCGCGGCCTACGCTTCTTTGCCCGACACTCCTCCCCCTTCGCCGCGGTTGGACCGGGCCGTTTTGGCCAACCTCGTTGACCGAGTACCTATCCCCCTTTATGACATCAACCCCGTGGAGGTGGCACGCCAACTCACCATCATGGATTGTCGGTTGTTTTG